AATCTGTAATGATTGATACATTGTGTCAACTTGAAAATTGAGAAGTTTAGAAGCTTAATGACTCAGCAAGGGGCCAAGGTTCTCACTTTGCTAACATCCTGAGCCTGGCCAAGGATATAGCTCAGTGGCACAGGGGCCTGCCTGGCAAGTGCCAGGTCCTGAGTTCAATTCCTGGTACAAAAAAAAAAAAAAAATCCTGAGCCTGTGCAATAGAAGGACATGGAGATGGTATGGGTGTAAAGGATACCACCCCCCCAGGGTAAGTAGGCTGTGTACAATATAAGAGAGGAAAAGAGGCTTGCTCTCCCCCACCCCTTTTGCTCTTGCTGCTTTGTTGTCTTCCACTGCCATGCACCGTGGCCACGTGCCATGTCACCCTGCTTTGGGGCCAGTTGATTATGGACTGAAACCTCCACAAACTGTGAGCTAAATAAACCTTTCCTTTCTTAACTCTGGGTGTGAGATATTTTGTCTCAGCAATGAAAAAAAAGTAAGGCATATACTGAATGGGCTGCTTTTTGCTTTTCTTTTTCTTGTTATATAGCCTAGGCTAGCCTTGAACTCATGATAATTCCTGCCTCAACCTCCCAAATTCTGGGATCACGGGTGTGTGCTACCATGCTTGGCTTCTGCTTATTTTTTATGTCATTTGAAAGAATAAATGACAAAGTATGGTTCTCAAATTTAGATCTGACAAAGCTTTTCTCAAGAAGGAAAAAGTCTGTCACTTCAGGGAAAAATAAATCTGACAGTGTTAGTTGTTTATAATACAATTTGAGCATTCAAATGAAAATTCAAATTCCGGAAAATTTGCTATTATGAGGCTTGCCAAAATTTGAAGGCTTTTTGGTAAAAACCAATCGTGATGTTAAGGAATATGATTTCTTGATAAGGTACATTATAATGAAATCTGTCAACATTTGGGAGATCTGCATGGCCAATGAAGCAGCACGTTCCAAATGACCCATGCATGATGTTACAAAATTGTCGTGGAGCCAGGTGTGGTGGTACACATGTGTAACCTCAGCACCCTGGGAGGCTTTGAGCAGGGGATTGTGAATTTATTTGTTTACTTACTATTCACATATCTATTTATTTATTTATTCTTCTTTTTGAGACAGGGTCTCACTATGCAGTTCAGGCTGGCCTTGAGCTCACTTTGTAGCCCAGGCTGGTCCTGAATTTGTAACAAACCTCCTGCCTCAGCCTCCCAAGTGCTGGGATTACAGGTGTGCACCACCACATCCTGGCTTATTTTTTTTTCAACAGTAGCAAAGTTTTATTAAAGGTAGGAAAAGAAACAGGCTCTGCAGAGCAAGTTTGGGGCAGGTAAAAGTAGGCAAAAAAGTTCAGCCACCATACAAGAGAGAATACAGGGCTGGGGATTTAGCGGCACAGCGCCTGCCTGGCAAGTGCAGGGTCGTGAGTTCGATTCCCGGTACCGGAAAAAACCCAAACAACAACAAAAAAAAGAAATGTACTGCCTTACTATATAGTCTTTAGGGCTGGGGATTTAGCTCAGCGGCACAACGCCTGCCTGGCAAGCGCGTGGTCATGAGTTCAATTCCCGGTACTGAAAAAAATCCAAAAAAAGAGAATACAGTGGCCAGATTGCGAGTTTAAACCCACTGTGGGAAATTTAGTGACTTAGCAAGACCTAGTATCAAAATAAAAACGGGCTGGTGATGTAGCTCAATGCAAAAGCCTTGTGCTTAATATCCCCACTACAGAGGGGAAAGACCCACCCAGAAAACTACGCATGTCTAATAAAGGTATAATATAGAAAAGTGAGAAGAAAGGCAGGTTTCAGGCAGCACATCACAACTAACCCTTAGAAAGGACCATTTGCCCAAGCTTCGGTACAGTATCAACGTATCCACTATTAAATAAAACTACATCTCATCGTGAAGCAAATAGACTGAGTACTGATTTTGAGGGTCCAGTTATCCTCTATTAAGCCAATTATTAAAGAAATTTATAAAAATGTAAAATAAGTGCCATACTTTTACTAATCTAGGGAGGAGAAATGTAATTTTTTTGGTTTTTGTTTGTTGGTTCGTTTGTTTGTTTGAGACAGGGTCTCACTGTGTAGTGTAGGCTGGCCTTGAACTAGCTATGTAGCCCAGGCTAGCCTCAAACTCACAGCAATCCTCCTGTCTCAGCCTCTCAAGTGCCAGAATTACAGATGTGTGCCACCACAACCAGCTTTTTTGTTTTTTTGAGACAAGGTCTCACTACTCAGTTCAGGCTGGCCTTGAACTCACTAGGTAGCCCAGGCTGACCTTGAACTCACAGTGATCCTCCCTCTCTACATCTGGATAGTTATTTTTTTAACTTAAAATGTTATTTATTTTACATGGATAATGTGTAATGGATTTGATTTTGTTATTTTAATGAATATTTTTAAATTTTCTGTTTTCATTCTAATAAAAGTATTGATAGATATAACCCACTTTAACAAAAGCTACAGGGTGTGGTGGTACACAGCTGTGATTCTAGCTCGCAGAGGCTGAGGCAGGAGGCTCACCAAAAGTTTGGGACCGGCCTGACCTACATAGTGAGTTCAAGACAAGCCTGACTTACATAGTGAGATTTAAAAAAGAAAAGAAAAAAAAAAAAAAAGCTGGAGTCTTCAATAATTTTTAAGAGTGTACAGGCCTCTTAGACTAAAACGTGTAAGGACTGCATTACCAGGCCATGAGCTCCTCTGAGCTCCCACTGTAGTAAGTATGTTTGTGCACTGGAATCTGGTATGTGAAAACCGCACCTGCCAAACGTTTAAGTGCCACTTTATGCCTGGGACCGTGCGAGGGGCTGGGGACTCACCACTGAAAATGTTAACCTCTGTTCTGCAGAGACTAATAGGCCTAAGAAGCTCAGCGTGGGACTGCAGTGAGCTCACAGGGGCCTCTGCCCAAGAACAAGCACCTACTAGACAGAGAGGAAGTAGCCAGGGAAGGCTTCCCAGAAAAGCTGACACTCGATCTGAGCCTTAAAGGACACCAAGCCTCAACCCAGGGGAAGGGCGTGTTAGGGGGAGGCAACAGAAGAATACAATGCATGTAGTTCAATATGCACGCGGCACGAGGTACAAGTCTGAGAGGGGGTGCAGGGGAAATGAGAGGAGATGAAGGTAAAGGAGGTAGGGCCCCAACAACGCTGCTCTTTACCATACTAAGAAATGTGAGCCGGGTGTGGTATCGCGTATCTGTGATCACAGCACTCAGGAGGCTGAGGCAGGAGGATCATGGCAAAGTGAAGCCCTGTCTCAAAGAAGAAAAAGAAATGAGGATTTTTTTAAACTTCAAAGCAGGAGGGAGTAGGGAAGGGCTCTGGAGGATTTTAGATCCTATTCTCAATTTTTTAAAAGATCTTTGACAACAATGTCGAAAACAAGTTAAATGGGTAAGAGAGTTGGGAACCAGGAGCGAGATAACGACGGACTGCGGACTCTCTAAAGGAGCTGTGCACGCAACTCCAGCACTGGGCCGACTTCGACTCGTCTGCGGGAAGCGGAGCTCCAGGGTCAAGCGGACGAGGAGCGGAGGGCCGGAGAGCCTGCAGCCGCCCCGTCCACCCGAGGGGCCGCAGCTTTGTCTCGCGGAGCCCGGGAAGGCGC